TAGCTTGAGTTTATAGAAAATAATATTTATAGTCAATTCACTATCGATTATTACACGATTAGATGATATAAAACATTTGAAAAATGACGAAGCACAATACGTGTCTGGTATGTGATTATTAAAAGGCTCCAAGAGGAGCACCATCGTCCCATGCATAGTTGTGTGCATACTAAATTGAAAACGCATATACGTGTGTGCGCGTTTTTGTGTATGCAAGTAAATATACATAATAATACATTGGAAAGATTGGATAAATAAAACGAATCGTACATTTTGCTCGAAGTACAAACATTTCAATTGCACCATTAAAGAAGACAAGATTGATATCGAATTGTGATCATGCTAACTCATGCTTGTTAATTTATTTCAATAAAACGAATAATAATCTACACCGTCTCACAATGTTCCAATTGATCGTTCAAATGAACGAATCAAATATATTCCCGTGACCCTGTCCATTATACAACGTTAATATTTGAAAACATCAAAGAACAAACGTATTGCGATTCAATGATTTGTGAATAAAATTAATGCGCAAAATTTTTTTTATTAATAAAATATTTCTTATCTACGGACGTAAGTAAAAATGTGTATATTCTACCACGAACAAACTTTAGATAATTTAATCGACGACTACTCGAGTTGTGTCGTCTCTGCCTAGTTCAAGCATATCGTCGATTACGAATTGATATTTTTGGATTTTCAGCTTTGAAGTTGAAATGTTATCTCGAAATATATCCTATCGGTACACAATTGACAATTGAGAATATACTGTGTTGTACAATCTATAAAAACCGATAGAGATACGAAAAGAGTATCGACTGTTAAACATGTAAATACAAGTTTGCAACAAGAAAAATGTGTTCACTGAGAATCGATAATAATCGTGCGATTCGCGACCTACTGAGACCCGACCATTTATTATAATATACATAATACGAATAAAAAGAAGAATTAAAAGGAAACAAACCACAAAAAAAAAAAATAAAAATAAAAATACATTTTATTAGATTTCAAATAGTGCTGAGACGAAATATTTCAAAATGCTGACTATAGTTTCGTAAACGATATATATATATATAAAACGTATGAAAAAATTATTAAAACGAATAATACGTGTCATTATTCGAAGGGTGACATATCTCAACATACATAAATATAATTGGGGGATAATAAATAAAAAAAAAACATAATAAAAACAGTACTTACGAATGACTAATAAAAAATAATCAAAATTGGTCGTCGAGTCGTAAGTTTTTTTTTTTTTTTTTTGCAAATAAACGTAAATGAAAATTATCTAACGAAGGTGTAGTAGAGCGCGAGTTTAACTATTGATTAGTGTCTATCAAACAACTCAGGACAAATTTGGTCCGTCAAAGCTACGTAAGAGGAGGATAAAAAATAAAAAAAAAATAAATAAATAAANAAGAGACTTGAATTTTTCTTGAAATTGATTAGTGTCTATCAAACAACTCAGGACAAATTTGGTCCGTCAAAGCTACGTAAGAGGAGGATAAAAAAAAAAAAAAAAAAAAAAAAAAAAAAAAAAAACGAAAGAATGAAAAATACTTTTTAAACAGTAAGTACATAATATGTGTGTCTATAAAAGAATACAAGATTGGTTTTACTCACTTTTTTTTTAGTATACGAAACTAACAATGTAAATGGTATAAAAAAGGGTTAAAACACGTGCTCGGTAACGAGTCGAAGTCGCAATAGGTCTTCCCGCTTTGCCGATCGGCCGAGGACTGATCGTTCTATCTCTCTTTCTTTCACTATTACGGTTTGTCCGTCTTCGACTCCGGTTTGCTTGGTAAAAAGCACGCGTGATCCAACAAGCGCGACCGACCGACCGCTCGACGAAGGAAACGGATGCATGCGAAGAATTCGATCGAAGGTCGAGGCAAACCTCTCTCTCTCTCTCTCTCTCCTTTTTCTTCTTCTACTTTTTCCTCTACTTTTTCTCTATTTCTTTTTTTTACATTTACTTTTTTTTTATTTTTTCATATATTTTTATTTTTTTATCCTTCTTTCTTTCATTCCTGCCTCCTTTTTCTTTTACAATTTTTTCTCTCCTTCTTTTCCTCCTCCCCCCTACTCCTACGCCTCCCCCCTCCTCCTCCTGCTCCTCCTCCTCCTCCTCCTCTACCACTCTCCTACTCTATCCCTTTCTCCTGTCCCCCCCCCCTATTTTTATCGTGTCATTTTTTAATTCTCAATGATAACTGAGTTAATCAATAATCCATTTTGTTTTTTTTTGATACATATAAGTTACTGATATCATATTGAATAATCTTATTTGAAAATAATCGAAATTTTTTGTTTATTATTATTATTATTATTAATTAAATTTAGAAAATGAATTTGTATTTATAACTTTTTCTTGTCATTTTTCTTAACGCCGCAGATATATTTCAACCAATGGTGTTGTATGGCCGGCTGAAATATTCTGCCAGATCACGTGACCATGAAGTCTCTTTACGCTAGCATCTTAACACACTGTAAGATGTGTTATACGTTTCGACGCAACTCGATCGTTCGTCGAAAAATTGTTGTTAACATTTATTTATCATTGTTATTATCTATATTGCGTAATTTCTATAATTCATCAATAAGAACGATAAGAATGAAGAAAATGTGCATAGTTCATCGTTCTTATATAGGAGCAAAAAAAAAAAGAAAGAAAATAAAGAAATAAATAAAAAAAGAAAACAACAGATCAGTAATTCGATATCTCGATTGCACAAGATAAGAATTTAATTTTATTTGAACAATTATGACGATAAATTATTACATGATGATCGTATTTATGAACTTAATAAATACGCTTGCTTTTTTTTTCTTCTTCATCATCATCATCATCATCATCATCATCATCATCTTGATCTTCTTCTTCTTCTTCTTCTTCTTCTTCTTCTTCTTTATGCGTAACACATATCTTATATTAATATTTACGTAAGAATGACGTCGTAACTCGTTTAATATACAAAATCGTTATAGTTTTTCAAAATTCCCGCTGGAACTTCGTGACCGTACGATTTTCGCAAGGTTATTTCATATCGTATTATATATATATATATATATTTTTGTGGAATATCAAATCTTCTATCTTTTACCAAAAATATTACGAAATCTGGCGCAAGTGCAAAGTTACGTTTGTTAACCTGAATCCTTGTTCTATTTTAACTAATACGCTTATTATACCAATCTGTTTATTAACTTGATTATAAAAAAAAGTTCAATTTTAATGTAATATTTATATTGTACGAAGAAATATTTTCTTTTTTCCTAATTTTATATTTACTTTTTGTTTTGTTTTGTTTTGTTTTTTAACACTAGATATACCAGAGCAGCCATTTTCATTCCAAATTTCTGCTTCATGTAACATTTGATTTGTGTAAATAATTAAGCGTTTTGTTATTTAAAAATGTCTATCAATCCATTTATCTATTAAAATTATTATTGTTAAACATTTTGTTGGTTATTTTTTAAGAGTAAATAAAATTGGAAGCCTGAAATAAAAAAGCATTTTATTTTTTTTTTATACACCAGTCATTTTGACTAGTGTGGTAAAAATAGGTATACTGAAAATGGTGGATTTTATTTATATATCTAGTGTTAATATTTTTTCTTTTTCTTTCTTTCATTCCTTCCTCTCCTTTTTTTTTTATTTTATTTTCTCTCCTTCTTTTCCTCCTCCTCCTCCTCCTTTATTGCAAATAAATTATTTTAGAAATAAAAATCATGTTTATTGCGATTTTTAAATACTCAAAAAAATTTCGCTTATCGAAATATATATATATATATCTAAATCATTTATCTAAAGAGAAAAGATAAAAAAATAAAAAATAATAGAAAAACAGAATTATCTGAACGAAATCAAGGACTTCTTGGTCACTTAAAAAAAAAAAAAAAAAAAAAAGAAAAAAAGAGAGAGAAAGAAAAACAAGATAAAATGAGGAAAAAAAAAA